TTGGCTTTAATACAAAAACAGTCAATTTACATAGTTATGTTTATGAAATAGTATTTATCAGGAAAGAGAGAACAGAAGGTGTGAAATACACCTCCCCCAACACACACAAACAGACTTGTACATGTCATTCTGGAGCGAAATGGAGGGAAACGTGCAGGAGAATGTCTTTAAAAAGGGCGTGTGAGAAAAGGAAGAAATGAGCAACTTGGTCATAATATTAGTTGACAAAATGAGATTTTGCTTTGAGCTGAAACTTTAGAATTTTTTATCTACTTTAAGAATCACTCAGATTTATTCTTCAGTGTGAAGGATGGACCCATACATTTTTATCATCAATTTTTACCCTTTCTTTCCCTTCTAAGTAAGCAAACTTCATTTCTAGGTTGTTTTCTACTTTCCTTAAAAATAATCTTTATGATTCAAAAAAGGAAGCATTTCTTCTAATATTGACACAACCATTTTTTCTCTTTTCTTTTATGTCCTCTCATTATGCATTTTTTTCAGACAAAAGATGTATTTTTGCTTACGTGATCTATGAGTTCTTTAACCATCCCGTTCCACTCTCCTTTGTCATTCTGGGCTCCATATTTGCCATCAGGAACGAGTTGAACATCATAAATGAAACCCAGTATATTTGACAATTCTTTTAACAAATCCAGGCAATATCCTTCAAATCTGTCATTTCCATATAGGGGCTTATCAGATTTCCTGTACATCACATAGGGCTCTTCCTAAATGAAACAAGCCAAATATGAAAACCCTGTTATAATGAAAGGAAGAATTTACTCCATCAGCATCCTGAAGATATAAAATCTTTGAAGGTGATTTTTAAGGGTTAAGAGTACTGAAGTCAGTCACTCATCTTCCTGCCTTTGCTAAACTTGTCCTCCCGACGCCCTCTACAAATACAGAACACCTCGTGTATTATTTTTTCCCCTCCTGCCTCTTCGGATGGTAGGGTTTTCCTCTAATGCTGCCAGCTGGGCTGTGAGTGAACGGTGTGACAGAGACAAAGTTACATTTAAATTCTGGTTCTTCAGAGGGAAAGCCTCAGAGGGCCATGGGGGCCCAGGTGGATGGCCCTCAGCTCTGCCCATGCCCAGGTTTCCCTCCTGGCTTTTAATTAAGAGGCTTACCTACTCACAAAAGACAAATCTAAATCACCAAATATATCCTCTCATTCTTTGAACTTC